ATGCAAAACTATGCACACACTGACCAACAATACACAGGATGCAGTAAATCAAGCAAAAAATGGATGTGTTAGTACAAAGGTCATCGTCTGGCATACATCACGCCTACGGTCCGAGAACTCCGACATACAAATGCACGGAAACAACTATCAAGAACAAGAATACAGAGCAACAGAAAATTGCGATAACCTAAACACAAAAGCAACATCTCAAAGCAGGTGTCATAAATACATGATTATGAAGGTGCCAGTGGAGGAAAGGAAGTAAGAACATTTATAATACGAGCGAGTTCAAGTCAGTTCAGTTCTCTACATCCCTCCTTCAACAGAGTGTTGAACATGCATTATGGATAGGGTTCCGCGTTTTCGATTTTTATTTTTTCAAAATTCGGCATACTTTTTTCGGTGTTTAATTTAAAGTTCGATTTTCTTCGGTGTATATTTATTCTCAAAAAAATTTACCGTTTTTTTTTCGGTGAACATGAAAGAAACACCATCGAAAACGGGATGAGATGATCACTCAAAGAATAACGGCACATATATATGCGTGGTCTTCGCTACAACTTCCGTCAGGACAAACCTCAAAATCGCGGAATTCGCGGGCATAATCTTCAGCACGCTTCTTTTTCCTTCCTATTCTGACGGCGTGACCGTCTGAGGTGATAACCGTAAGAAACCAGTGAAATGGCAAAACAAAATCTATTTTATTTATGTTTTTAACCACAGGGATGTTTGAGAGAGGGTGATAAGAAGGTATCAACGGCTTTCCTCGATGTCTTCTAAAGTGCATGACACCCAAACTTTTTTTAAGAACAGGAACTTGAAAAACTAAGCCCGATCACAGAAAGGACACAGATGTCCCGCGAAAGACAATTCAAGACCTCTTTTGTTGCATGTTGAAACTTGGAAGAGGGCAATTACGAAGACGTCACACAATGTCAAACCTTGCAAAGCCCTCTCTCCCCCCCCTCCCCCACCCACCTTGACGCGGCCCTAAGAAACTAACCTTTTTTGGTTATAACCGAATTTTAGAAAACGGACTAGATGTACTTTTATCGGTTTAAACCTAAAACGCTGAAGCTACAAACTGACCTTTTTCGGTTAAAACCGAATTTTTAAAAATGAATTCGGCGTACTTTTATCGGTTTAAACCGAAAACTCCGAACCCTAATTATGGAGTATTAAAAAATGACACGCTGTCAATTGTAAAACCTGCTTGGTGGTGTAGGAATACGACTATACTAGGGGGATAGCTTTTCTCTGCCTCTCGAAGAAGAGAGCGCACGCAAAACTTCCATAAGTGCTCAAAATTGGAGAGGGAACGCGTGCCAGTGCCTTTGACGGTAATTCCAAGAAACATTGTTCCCGAGTATAGTAAGGTTCAAATCGGGAGCAGGAACCACTGCAGTGCACGCACACTCAAAAATTGGTTCCAAGCCGAGTTGATTGCTAAAATGGAAGGGCATGCTACAGGACGTAAAAATTAAAACCGAAAAAATTACTTTACACTAGGGTACTAGGATCGCAAAAGCAGAAAAAAGCCGGTATAGGAATTAAAACTGACACTTTTTTGATAATCGAAAGAAAATTTGCTCATATATTTATTTTCTGCAAGTGCCTATTTTTTATACAGACGAGTAAAAAAAAAAGAGACAAAACCTCAAATGAGCTACACTGACCTATTTCCATCTATCGAAAATTTTAAAGGTTTGCCGTTACACTGACCAACCCCTTGATCACTTCTGGCAAGGAATTGCTTCCTACTCCTCAAGACATTTGTGTGATTGCAAACAGTAGCATTCAGATGAAAGGCTTGTGAGAAATGCAAGAGTTTCGCTATGCGTGCACAATGTGGTAACCATACTGGATATACAACCAACCGTTCTGAGAAGTCGACAGCGCAAAAGGCCATTCCCTGCCACCTGATTAATGCAATCACCCTTAGGTTCGTCATCCAGAGACACAGCCGCACTATAAGGTTTTTCACAGCTTTGTGTTTGTTTATGGTGGATCAGATTAGCATGAGGCGGATGCATAATAAAATGTACAGGTACATTGCTGTACTCTTTAAGCCAATGCATTAATGTCATTTTAGGGCACCGCATGTATTTATACACTTCAACTGAAATGGTGTATATCTCTGCATGAGTCAAATGATTTCACATGTTACAAAACATGGAAGGCTAAACTTGCAGCTGATTCGTAAAACTTTCGGCGTAAGTACACTAGATTGTGGCGGATCAAAATGTCATTCTCACCCGTGCGCACTTGGTTACGGAGGGATACAAAAATTCAGATCAAAGTTTGCACTTGTATATCCTTTCGCCTGTGGTTGATCAGATGTCAATTCTGATGCAAGGCTTCGGAAAACAGTGTGCAGTTATAAGGCTTCTGACCTGTGTGCACCTGAATATGGTGGGACAGATGAAATTTGAAGCAAAGGTTGGGGGACAAAGCTTGTACATGTATATCTTTTCACTTATGAGTGTTTTGGTGAGGTTCATAAAGCTGCAATTCCGAGCAGTCATGGAAACTCAGCCGCACCATAAGGTTTTTCACAGCTGCTTTTGTTTATGGTGGATCAGATCGGAATGAGCCAAGGCTTAGGGACACCTGTACAGGGGTGGAAGCAAGCTTCAGCCTTTTGTAGCAGGTCTGAGAGCAGCAAAGATGCCCCTTTGGAGCAGTTCAGGAACTACAAAAGTAGAGTTTCGTAGCGGCTAAAGTAAATCCTGGAGCTGGTCACCCAGGTCGAACTTGGGTCTGTAAGCGCAGAGATGTTTGTCTAAGTAAAACAAATATCATAACGAAAAAGCATCTACATGTAACGTACAGCACCATTTCCAAACATACCCTTTCCTTACATCCTAATCCAGCCCTTGCCATTAAAAAGCAAACATCATAAATGCAATTTATCTAAATGGTAGCTATTGCAAACTGTCCTGGTAGAGGGTTCGTTCCTCTTATGGATTTCCAATAGAAGGCATAGTCAACAAAATAAGCACAGCTTAAGCGTCATGAAAACAAAACGCTGTGCCCATTTAACAACCCAAATCACAAGTATCCATAACTTGAAAACGAAACCATTTAAAAATGCAATAGTATGGGATGAAATTAAGCCCAATTCTAACTGACTACAGTTTTCAATGTTAGGGGATACAAATGCTCCCCAAGTCCCTGTTTAGCAAACATAAATGTATTCCAATACTCAAGTCAACAGAATACAAATCTCTCATTATAGTACAAATGCAGAAAATTGTAAACTTCATATCTTCTCTGCTCATACACACGTGCCTACGACCGTACAAAAACAAGCATGACTGAATAGAATAAGAAAGCTTGTTTAGGAGTTTGTTAAAAAAAGTGGCTGACAAAACTAGCAAGTAAGTCTCAATACTTCTGACAAAGCCACCTATGCAGTTCCCATTTTCGGAGATCAGACATCTACATGCAATGTTGGCCGAGCTGTGGCACTGATGGCACAAAGCAACGCGCCCAAACAAGTGCTTCGACGGCACTGGTACGGAACGGACGACTTAAACAACTAACTCACGCGGTCTTCCCTTGCGCTGCTGGCGCTTGACAGCTCATCAACATATGACTATGAAACGAAATGGAGCACTGTCTACTTACCTGGTCTGGAATTAATCATAATTTTCATTTGATTAAAATGGGCAATCAACACCTGTTTTTATCAAACAAGTCACCTGCTTTCATAACTGAAAAAACCTTTGTGGATAGTTTTGGTGCAACATTTGGGCTTGGGAGGAGGATGGCCCAGCGAAAGCGGAATGGCACACAATGGCGCAAAGCTTCCACCCCTGCTTGTATTGCTTTTCATCTGTGTGCTTGATTATGGCATCAGAGATGAAAATATTGAGAAAAGACTTGGGGTGCAAGCAGGCATTTATATGGCTTATAATCCGTGTGCTCGACTGTGTTTAATCAGCTTACTCTTTGAGCAAAGGCTTGGGTACACAGCTAGCATTTAAATAGCTTTTCACAACTGTGTTCAGTTATTGGAGATTAGATAAGAACTCTGAAAAAGGGTCTTGGGGCATATCTTGCACTTAAATTACTTTTCACCAATGTTCGCTTATGGTGTCTCAGGTGTGAATTCCATGCAAAGGCTCGGAGCACAGCTTGCACTTAAATGGTTTTTCACCTGAGTGTGTTCCATAATGGCGGATCAGATCGGGATTTTTAGAAGACTTGGGGGCACAGCTTGCACTTAAATGGCTTTCCCCCAATGTGTGTTCGGTTATGGTGGCTCAGTTCAGAATAGAGAGCAAACGCTTGGGGACAAAACTTACAATTGTATGGTTTTTGACCTGTGTGGATCCGATTATGCCAGACCAGAATGCCTCTGAGAAAAGGCTTGGGGGCATACCTTGCACTTAAATGGTTTTTCACCAGTGTATGTTAGATTATGCCTTCTTAATTTACGATTCTGAGTAAAGGCTCGGGGCAATGCTTGCACATAATTGACTTTTCACCTGAGTCTGATTATAGCAGATCAGGCTTGAATTCCGAAAAAAGGCTTGGGGGCATAGCTTGCACTTCAATGGCTTTCACCTGAGTGTGTTCAATTATGCCCGATTGGACCTGGATTCCAAGAAAAGGATTGAGATCATAGCTTGCACTTAAATGGCTTTTCACCTGAGTGTGCTCGATTATGGCAGATCAGACCGGAACTCTGAGAAAGCTTGGAGGCACAGTTTGAACTTATATGCCTTTTCACTTGATTGTGTTCAATTATGGCAGAGCAGACTGGAATTCCGAGAAAAAGCTTGGGGGCACAACTTGCACTCATATGGCTTTTCACCTGAATGTGTTCGATTATGGCAGATCAGACTGGAGCTCTCAGAAAAGGCTTCGGGGCACAGCTTGCACTTAAATGGCTTTTTACCTGAGTGTGTTCGATTATGGCGCATCAGATTGGAATTGTGAGAAAAGGCTCGGGGGCACAGCTTGCACTTAAATGGCTTTTTACCAGAGTGTGTTTAATTATGGCGGATCAGACTGGAATTGTGAGAAAAGGCTTGGGGGCACAGCTTGCACTTAAATGGCTTTTCACCCGAGTGTGTTTGGTTATGGCTTTGCAAATGGGTATTTCGAGCAAAGGTTCGGGGGCACAGCATGCACTTAAATAGCTTTTCACCTGAGTGTGTTCGGTTATGGCGGATCAGATCGCCATTCTGAGCAAAGGCTTGGGGGCACAGCTTGCACTTAAATGGCTTTTCACCCGAGTGTGTTCGATTATGTAAGATCAGAGCACTATTTTGAAAAAAGGCTTGGGGGCACAGCTTGCACTTAAATGGCTTTTCACCTGAGTGTGTTTGGTTATGGCTTTGCAGATGGGCATTTCGAGCAAATGTTCGGGGGCACAGCATGCACTTAAATGGCTTTTCACCTGAGTGTGTTCGGTTATGGCGGATCAGATCGCCATTCTGAGCAAAGACTCGGGGGCACAGCTTGCACTTAAATGGCTTTTCACCCGAGTGTGTTCGATTATGTAAGATTAGAGCACTATTACGAGAAAAGGCTCGAGGGCACTGCTTGCACTTAAATGGCTTTTCTCCAGAGTGTGTTAGATCATGCCTTCTTAAATGAGAATTCCAAGCAAAGGCTTTTAGGCAAAGCTTGCACTTAAATGGCTTTTTACCAGTGTGTGTTTGGTTATGCTTGGTCAGTTGGGAATTACTAGCAAAGGCTTGAGGACACAGTTGGCACTTGAACTTGTTGCTTTTGTGCTTTTGAGTGTTGCTTGGCACTTTGGACCTGGAGTGAGAGGACACGGGAGGATGCTGGCTCTTGGATTGTCCATCACCATGGGCAACCAGGTGGTTCACGATCCCATGCTGATCTCTGGTGTCATAGGTACAGGAACAACACCCAAACCAGATGTCCTCAGTGGCTTTCAATGAGCAGCTGGTCTCTCTCGAAAGTGCAGCTCCGTCTCCTACAAGGCCTCATTGCATTAGGATACACTAGGAAAGCACAACAAAGATAGCCACATGTTTTAGAAATAAGACCATTATTGTAGTTCTGCATCAGCTGAGTGGTTGAATTTCATTTTTTCCATTTTTACATCAGTTCAAAGCACTCAATGAAACAAATTTTGGCTTGGGATAAAAAAATGTAGGTTGGCATTAAATTAATAGCATATTTCATAAGCCAATAAAAGGTAGAAAGTCAAAAGCCTGCTTTTCGATATAAAAATCTGAAAACAGACCATTTCATACCTCCTGTCCTTTGACAGATATCTGTCTTTTCACTGATACATCCCTTGTACCCAAACATCTCACCCGGACACAAAGCCACAAAGCACGTCACACGACAGCCAACCTGTCTATTCTGTTCACCCTTAAGGAATTTGTCGCTAAAAAGAATACCCACTTGAAAGTTTCTTTGCATGCTGTGTTGCCTGATTGATTTTCTAAATAGTAATTTGGAGAAATACTTTTTGCAAGTACATAATGAAGTGTGACGTGGTTGTCAAAATGATAATGAAAAGAATGAGCTCAAAGCAGCAGCCACTTTTGTGAAAGCACGGTTGCTGCACATGGGAAGAGTGGATTACCCGCATAACATTGAATTTCAAAATGGATGAATGCACAGCTCTGCTCTCATGAGAGCTTATATACAGGAACCCTAGCCCACACTAACATCATTTCACCCTGCCGGTGATCTACCCTACTTGTTCATCCAGAGAAAAATAAACATGGTCGTGTGAAATAATGTGGAAGGTATGTGCTTAGCAACGTAGCAAAACTTGTACAAAGAATCCATTGAACTGGCTGCAATGAAAGTGTTCACGAAGTTGTGTTTAGGTGGGGCTTCTATTGTATTCAAAGTTCATGGGTGTAGACTTTAGCTAAGTTGAAACATCATAATTTTGCCAAAGAACAGGGAGCGAAAAAGTTAGAATCACCCTGTTGGAACTGCCGCTCAAAGATGAAACCACACACTCAATCTGCTGGATTTGCTTTTGGGTGTTCATATCAAAGAAACTTTTGTCTGCTTTATGTTGTGCAATCTGTGAAAAGGCATCAATTAGAAGGTTTTGACCACCGTAAAATACCGAGCCTGCGCCCTACTTGAGCAAGTGGCCCCCCCCCCCCATCTAGGAATTTCCCATTTCTGTACACGACCGAGCAAGCGTCCCCCTCCCATAGCCACCCATCCCGAAGGCATTTTTTAGCTTTGTTTCGGGCTTTCGGCTGTCACAGTGTGCAAAGCCAATATTCAATCCCATCCAATTCAAGAGGCTGCTAGAACGCACCACCAGCCATCGCCGCCATTTTTCTTAGTGCTTGCGTCGGGAGCGGTTGTCTTGTTGGCCAAGCATCCGTAAGAAACTCAAATTTGTGGATTGACCTCAGAATAATTGCAAAAATGTCTATCTGACCTCTTGCCATTTCAAGTTGGACTGTAAGAGGGTACGCAAGAGGGACACAAAGTACAAAGTTTTGCTGCAACACAACTTCGGGGAGTCAAAGGTATAACGCAAATTGAGCATTGGTGCCCATCTTTAGTGAAGTTGACGACACCTTGTACTAGTTCTCAGAGCGCGAAATGAACTCTGGACGTGCGGCTAGGAGGGCGATCTTCATGAACGGCTGTCTGACAGCGGCGCCGTTGTCCCCAAGAAACCCAACGAGCTACGGACTGAGGGCCTAGACCTGAGTTGGATCTGATTCTGAGGAATTGTTTTGTGGCTTTGATAGCGACTGAGGTGAATACCGGAATTTCCGTTTTCCGAATTGAATATTGATTGGAGTGTCCGTAAATAAATGTATGAATAATGCAGGCTATAATGATTTTTTTCTTTACTTTTACTGTCCACCATTTTGTGGTCGCCATCTTGAATATTAGGCCCAATCCGAGTAAGGGCCCCCTCTATATCTAGGCGAATTATCTCCAAATTTTGGGAAGGCGCTTATATTTTACGGTAGGTGCATAAGAATTTTTCAGTCAACATGTTTTCTCTAAAACCTACTCACCAAATTTGAGAATAATAAATGCATTATCAAAAGACAGTAAAAAGTTTAATAACCCTTAACAGACAATTTGCTATGCCTGAATACTGCTTGGAGACACCCTTTATATATATTCAAATAAGAATTAAAAAATAAGTGTTGCATGATAGTGTGCAGATTCTAAGTACTCAGTTGACACACTGTTGCTGCTTGCTTTCAGAATAGTATCTGCGAGGCTCAGGGAAACAGCACATGAGTTCCAGACAACTGAGTCAAAGTTTACAGCCTTGATTTCAAGCAAGATTACCACAAGAGACAGTTACTGAGGGCTAGTTAATGTTACACATGATTCTAAGAAGTAGACCACAGACAAGAAGACGAACGCCTGTCTCAATGGTACTCTGAAATGGCGAGATGTAGAAGAGGCAATAATTGTTTGCCAGTGTGAGAAGGACATTATTGTGTTAATTAAAAAGACAAATTGTACAAAACAGGTTTAAAGGGACACTGACAGGGTATTTATGCTCGCCGAGATTTTTAGGTGTACGTGACATATGAGAGCTCAACTACCCAGAACAGAATTTGCGGCTCGAAATTCGGTTTCTTTCCGCCCAAAAACCGCCGATCAAGAACTGGCCGGTTCGAGTCTCGCTCACTCTCTTTTTCGCGGTAACGGGCCGTTTTCTAAGGTATTGATGCGACCACCAAATTTAATCAAAGTCGTGGGTCACTGAAGGCACACACTCAATATTAAAAATAGAAAAAAATATGAAACCCATTTTTTGTGGCTTCTAAAAAGCTGTAAATAAGTTGATTGAAAAAAAAAGTTCCACAGACAACCGGAAGCATTCTGTGCGTTCGTCGTTTTGCGCATGTGGGACTCGCGGGGACGGCGATGGCAGCGGACGACGGGCGTGGGACCTCTATTTCAGAACTGTCGTTCGCGGTACCGGCGAATTCTGTCTACGGTTAAAAGAGAAATTTGGGACTGATCAAAAGAATTGGTATTCATCCCGTACGACACGCCCGGCCACCAAGCCGATTTGCACGAAGACGTCGCTAAGCCGTCGCTCCCTTCTCGTGGCTGAAGACTTCGCTCGCGCAAACGTCAAGTACGACGTGTCTACTTCGAGTTGAATATGCACGCGTACGATTTCTTTACTAGGTGCGAATGTCCCCAAAGCGTGGTGCTTCCCGACTTCGACCCGGGAGTGCTTTTGCTAGAGAAAAATGGACAGCAAACATTCCAACTTACAGTTTACAGGCTGAATTATTACTAAGGAAAGAGATCCACCACAAAAGCGATGCCTCAGTAGCTCAGTGGGAAAGACGTCCGGTTCACACGCGGTGGGACCGGGTTCAATCCCCCGTGAAACTTTTTTTTTTTCAGGCATTTTTTGATGTTTACATATCTTTTTCTTTTTTTTTACAATCATCCCTGAAGAAACAAACAAAAAAATAACAAACAAATGTTGTGGACGATACTTCGCTGAATTAAATGGTATGGGATTTCCGTTTTGACACCTGCGAACTCAATGTAATCACTTTCCACAAAATGCAAGGAGCATATAAATCAGGTAGCGTCCGCTTTCCGAATCGCCCGTATATGTTCTACAGGAATTGCAGCCAGCCATTGGTCCCGATCCCGTTGATCTTTCGGAAACTCTGTCGCACAATGCCACTTTTTTTCGGATGCAGGACATGTGAGCCAGCTCTTCACGCAACATCTTGGGTGTATTCTTTTCGGAGCCGATCATGGAAATTCACCACGGGCACTCACTACTCGTCTCCAACTCCTCAATGTACAAAACAACTCATCTTGGAGTACAGAACAACGAGCGGAACAAACATAACTGCAAAAGAATCGCACGGCGAGCAGTTCCCGCACGCCACATCGAACGCCGCATGTCGTGTCGTCTGCTACCGGAGAGGAGAAAAAAAAAAAAAAAAACGCACGGTCGGGTGTAGCCACGTGACTTCCGCCACTCACTCTCTTCTCTCCACTTCTCCGACCTCCGTCAGGTTTCGGTTTCGGCTTCGAGCAGTTGCGTCTTTTGGCTTTATTAAAAAAATACGCTACTCTGTTGCAAAATATTAATTGGGTAGTCCCCCGACGCCATAATGAAGCGCCTGGCAAAAAATAAAAAAAAATTTTGGGGGGTGTCAGTGTCTCTTTAAGCGACAATTAGGATTGGCTCTGTAGGAAATTGTATGGTCAAACATCAATTGCACTGGACCTGGCGATGCAAAGGTTTTACAAGTGATGGACCGAATCTGTTGAACTTCAGATTTGGCAAAGTTCGGCACATGCCGAACTTTTGAAGAAATGTTCGGCAAAAATTCGGCAAGCGTCTGCGCACGTCCGAGAACGCGATAGGGCCATGGATTGCAAATGGCTGCCGTGTGGTTGTGCGGTTGCCATTGTACTGTGAAGTGCTACTAGCGGTTAAGGCAGGGTGCGGAGTGGGCGACATGGTAACTGTGTTCAGCCTTTGTGAGTGGGGTTCTCTTTAATATTCTCTGCCTCAAGAACGGAAGATCGACCAGAAACCAGAAATTGACGCAAAAACGACCCAGTCCACTGCGCAACTGACAAATGATGTGGTACATTTGGGATAAAATGATTTTAATTTGATCTTTCCAGTGATGCAACGAGGTAGTTGCCGCATCAACTGACAAGTACTTTAAAGCACTCCTTGCCATTATAGCAATCCTGTTTTCGGCTGACAAGTAGTTTGTACCAAAATAATATTGCTTTTCAGTTAAGGGGGAACACTGGTCTTGGAGCTTTTTTTCTTATTTTATGACCAAACTCAATGAAACTGCACAAGCTTGTTCAGCTTTTTGTGTTGATTTCATATATCTGGTAATTTCCTCAGTCAGTAGAATTGTCCTGAAGATAATTAAAATTTGCCTGTCTTTGTTTGGAGGAATGATAGAGAAAAAAATGCTCAACAAAATATCCTTTTTAACGCATGACCAGATACTACGAAGTGTAGAGAATACAATGTTGGAAGCACTTTTAAGATAAACCCATTATTAGTGATTTTACAACATATTGAAGTTCAGTGCTCAGTGCATGACTAAGAAGTAATAAAACAAAAGATCAAATAGAAAATCTTCTAGACTTATGTTAAAAAATATGCTCTCAACACTGTATGCTTCACACATTTAGGAACACATTTGAAGAAAGGCTATATTTCTGACTGCTGTAGATGCTGAAATATCCCTCCTGCAAATTTTCATTGAGTCCAAAAATTGTGTTTTGCGAAAACAATTTTTTAGACTTAACTTTAATGCACATTCAGCCCACATAGATATTATAAATTGATTTATAGCTCAAACATTCATCCACGAAATTAAAAGCCTGGTAGATTCAGAAGAACAACAGCCATCACCGTTTTCAAATAAATGCAGTTTTAGGAAGTTTTTGGCTCCAAAGACCCATGTCTCCCCTTAATGTTATTTCGCGGTTTCCATCTTTACCTGCACAAAACTAAACACACAACTATCATGCTCGACGTTGCACAACCGACATTCCTAAATCTTCCACATCTTCATAAATGTCCGGTGTGTCCAAACATCAGAAACCGGCATTTTAAAAGTGAAAAACGAGATGTTGTGAATATGGAATGCACTTTCATGCAAAGCTAAAGTGACTAAAATCGAAAAACATGCATATTTACAATAACATTGTTATCTGTTGGGATGAAGGCTCAGCAGCCGTTGAATTCATTTTCACGCACGAAGTGGTGACTCGCAGAGAAAGCGGAGAAAGTAAGAACACAGTGTTACCGCTTTTATTTCAACAACACACTTGCAGGCGTGCACTGATTAGGCCTCAAAACCGAAACTCGCATATCGTGACTGTGCTGACTGCGCCCCCACTTACCAAACCCCATTGTCACACCACTTCTGCAAAAAGTCAATTTAAAATTACCAGTAAACACACAAAAATGACACCGATACAATTATCTTGTAGAATATTAGCTTATTTAGTAATAACTGTGTCAATATGTAGTAAAAAAATCCTAAAAACTCCCTTTGCACGCAAAAACGATATATCAACTTCTCGGTCTGGCAACAATGCATTTTTGCCGAATCTTTCGAAGAGTTCGGCAAAAATTCGGCTTTGCTGAATTCTAAGATTCAGCGCCGAATTTTGGATTCGGCAAAAGTTTGGCCCGTCACTACTTTTTACTTTTGTAAGGGGTAGAACAGGGGAAAAAGAAGCATTGCATAAAACCTCGTGGTTTTTAATTGACCTTGACACAGCACTTGTTAGAGAAGTTCAAATTTTGTACCATTCGCTATATTATGAATGGCGTGGTGCTGGCCGTGTGCAGTGCCAAATTAAGTCTTACAAAGGCCTGGTTCAAGAAAATTGAGGGCGGCCCCCTTCACTTTCTAGCTCGCCAATATCTTGCATTTATTTCAGTGAAAAAAGTACCAATTATTCTTCATGTTGAATTTCTGCACATACCATGTATCTCATTGTTTACAAGATGATGCTAACATAAACAAATATTTCTGTAAGACTTCCTTACTTTTCTATACCAAAATACTATCACAGATATACCAGAAGTTTTAATTACCCATTGCCTTCGGCGTGAGAAGCAGCAGATTTTTGATAGGCAATATAAGGACCAAATAGGCTCTCTCTGCATGAAAGCCGCACAAAAATATATCTTGCTGAGCAGCATTTTCCTTAAGAGATATGCAATATACTTAGGTTGTTTGCTAAGTTAAGTGCTTTTCCTTGTAATTATATTACAAGATAAATGTGAAAATCTTTTCTTTGTAAATTTTTTGCTAAAAAAACAAAAACATTGAAAATGGTGAAATTTTTGTTTGTGCCAGACAAGACATTACTTATTAGACAAAGTATGAAATTATATGACAAAGGCTACTGTCAATATTCTAAAATATACTACTTGGATACACCATAGAGAGTGCAAGGGGCCATTGATGCTACGCAGGTCACTGCCAATTGCTCAACTAAACATATAGGCACTTATTTTACAAATTGTTTACTACGACGTGATGTCTAAGAAAAATCTGTTCCAATATATTTGCTGATGTTGTGATCCCTATATAGTGCAAAAACCTCAAATAGAAACTGAATTTTGTAAACACTGGTCACATATTTGCTGCCTGCAGGTAAAAATGAACTTTATGATTCTCTAAGCCAGGGCTGCACAACTAAAAAATGACGCGGGCCAAAAAAATGTTTACTGGGAACTACACAGGCTTTCAATATCTGGTATCATCGCACTGGTTGCCGTCTTGAGCATATCTCGCAATGTTATGTCCGCGGGCCGCACAGGAAGTGCCTGCGAGCCGGATGCAGCCCACGGGCCGCATGTTGTGCAACTCTGCTCTAAGCCCTTCCACACAATAGCTTAGCCCACAAGGTGATACAGTGAAGTGCCCCTCATGAGAAGCACTTGGAGCACCATGCATGCAAATAACGTGGGAACCATTTCGGCCCATGCGGCAAGCTCTGCCTTTTCATCGCAATAATCATCATAAGACGGCAGTGTACTGTTGTTCCTAGAGTAACGGTTGCCATTATCATTTCGCAAGTGCTACCCAGGTTTTTGCTGGTCTCAGAAGAAAACAGCTGGAAATGGGAGGCAGCTTTCTGGAAGCCAGCAAGACGGCATTGTGTGAAATTTAAATGTAAAGATACTAGGCTCTACAATGTTTTAATTCTGAGTGGATGGGTGGATGAATTAGGTCAAAGCAATTGTTTTGAGCGATCACTTAAACTCTCTGAGCCCTTCCCACCAGTCTTCCAGCATTCATTAAATTTCTTTACATTTTGGAGATCACTTATTCCTTCATTGAATCCTCCCATCCTGAGGCAAGCTTAGGTATGTGGCTTAGCTAGGTATAACACCCGCTAATTTAGCCAAAAAAGAAACTTGGAAAAAACAGAATCCGAGTTAGCTTACATTTATGGTGCCAGTGCACAAAAGTAAACTTTACGATGGTCCGAGCCCTATTACGCCATTGTTGGATCCACACGGTGATGTACTGAAGTGCCACTCATGCGTAACACAGTAGATATGTTTCCTATGAGCTCCTTACAAATGCCAATAAACTTGGAACCGCTTTGGCCCATTCCTCATAGAGGTGGCAAGCATTGCCATTCTTAACATAATGGCCATCATCCAACAGTGGCAGTTTACTGTTGTCCCTTGGAAAAGGTTACCATTATCATGTGGTCAGTGCTACCTATAGATTTTGCTAGTCTCAGAGGAAAACACTTGGAAATGAAAGGCAGCCTTCTGGCAACCAGACAGTTAGCGTTGCATGAAATTTGGATAGAAAGATACCTGGCTCAACAATATTTTTTATCCTGGATGAATTGGGGCATGGCACTTTGATTCGAGCAAACCATTGAGAAACTCTGCCTTCTTTAGCTTTTCCCACTATACTTCCAGCCTTCTCTTAGTTTGCTTAACCATTTAAAGATCCCCTGTTCCTTCATCAGCCCCTCCCATCCCAAAGCAATACAAAAGTCCACCTCAATCAAGTTTGTACCAGACTATTCATACTTACATGCTCTGCTGTTACCTTTGCCTGTACCCAGAGTGTCTCCTCATATCTCTACCTATAACTCATGGTCTGTACTACCTCCGTCTTTACCTAGGACGATAGACAATTCCATTTTGATCTGATAAAAAGGTTCTCCTTTCTACATCTCAATTTTTACGCACGGTAGGCTGGTAATAGGAGTTTCCTTCGTGCTTTCCGTTATGGGCCACAATGAACCACAAGTCTGGCTAATGCCTGAGTTTGGAAGCTTATTTGTTCACTTTCCAACAGATGGCAGCATTTAGGGTCTTTGTAGTTTGTTTTATATTTATCAAACTGCCGACCCCGACACCCCCCCACATACACACACACACACACACACACAAACACACACACAAAACCCGGAAAAAAATTAGATGTCAGCAACATGAAAAAAGGTGGCATGGCCTCAATGCGCATGTTTTTAGCCGAAGAAGAAATACTCAAGGACTTTAGTTTGCAAGTGTTTGCAATCCCGCTTCTGACCACCTTAAACATTCTCTTTAAAACCATAATTTGCAAGAAAATTAAAAAAGCACTTGGCTTTTAGATGTTGCTCTCTGCTATCCTGAATCTGTTCAAGAGTATGACATGCTCAACACCTATTAAATGGATGCATCAGATGGCCAAGAATAGGAATGTTTTCTAATGTTTGCACAAATTATAGATTTTCACTAAAACGTTGTTGCATGCTTTGCGAATAAAAAAAATTAGGAAGCAATGGCTAACATTCTACGCTGTTCATTGTTTACCAATGTTATCCTGGTACCTCGCGGAAAGCCCGCTTCCTCTATCTCATCTTCACCTTCCCGTATATGGGAACTCCAAATTTACCTTCCTCACACTCTTTTTCCGCTGCCATGAGCTTCCCCTAAACTTCAATCCTAGTACTTGCTTCCCTCCCTGAGAAGCATAATCCATATCACTCTGCACATTTTTATCTGAGCGTCCCTGGTGGAGGATCTCCGAATCGGCACAAACTGGTAGGAATCTGTGGGCAGCTGTACAAAAAGCGCTGCTTTGGGCTATGACCACCTGTAGTCTAGACACAGCCACTGTACTCTCGTTATGAAAGAGGTGGAAATGAAAAACTTACCAAGACATAAGGACTGGATCGGTTCCATTAGAATTGCTGGCTGTGATCAGGTTCGTAAGCATGGACGATCACGAAGGAGGCAGAGGACCACTTGAGATGACTGGAACCAAATGTAGAAAGCAATCGCCGTGATTAAGAACAAAGTAGGCACACCCTCCAAGCACATCAGGTTAGCCAGACAGCTATGAGGACAACACACAAAAGACATCCACAATTTTGCCATATTGAGATAACAATGACAAATGGACGAGAAAACAGAATGCCGTGTGCCTAGCAATGGGTGGTTGTTTGCTTATGTTAACACAGTCCGTTTTCTGGCTTTCTGTCGAATTGCCATTACAGTAAAATTCCTATCAGTTAAAGGGGAGACTGGCAAAAGATAAAATCTGAGATAATTATGCCATGGAAACGATCACTTGTCCCTATATATTTTCTAAATTTGTTTAGTAGAGAGCGCTCAATTTTTCTAGATAGATCAGACTGAACTTGGGATGATCAGATCCACCCATACAGGATGACCGCCATGTCCCTCTTTCCAAGAAATGTTTCGAGTGTCGCTTAATGCTTAACATTGCAAGCATTCGCACACTGTAAAGTTTCAAAAATTCCTTTAAATTGGGTTGTTGAAAAAAATATTTTCGGGAACAAACTGGCAGTTAAGGCAAATGTCAGAAATTACAAAAAACAAAAGAAAAAAAAAACACTACCGCAAAATATTGGGGAAGCATCCACCCCATTTTCACTGAAAATAGGGTTAATCTAGACATGGGCACTTGTCCAGTCCAATCGGGCGGTTAACGTATAATTTGTAAACTTCCGAAGCTTGGAAAATGTTTTGTGGCGTCACGGCTGTCCTGAGCCGGTAGAAATATTATTATTATAATTAGTTGGCGCTGGAACGAAGTGGGCGCTTCTGCAGTATTTTTAATATTTACAAAATCAAATACTTAAATTGTACTAATTTGTTAATTTGTAAAAAATAAACACTGTTTCATTAGGAAGCTTGCTAAGACTTATCAAAAACCCTTAAATCAAATAACCTTGGGAAGAGTTAAAGCATCTGTGAAGCGTGAAAATGTGTTTGAAGTTTCCACTTAATTAGCGAATGGAAGGCTGGCGATGCAAAAACACTGATCATTTTGTTATCAACATTTTCACATTGCCAGCCTTCTTCCTGCTTCACGAGTGGGAACTTCAGCACATCCCCATGCTTTGTCTTCCTATAATTGACTAATCTTTGAGTTTGTAACGATGCTCAGCAAGTTTCTAGTCAGGACCATTTGTTCATTTTCAATAATTCGTGGTTCTTTTCTGCAATCTTCGACGTCCCCCGTGGTCGGAAGTTTGTTCCCGAAAAGAGTTTATTTCTCGAACACCCTAGTAGTAGGAACTTTTAAAAGCGTTTGCAAAAACAGCTGGTATAGTGTGCAATGAAGTGACATCAACTTTGGAGGATGCCGCCTCCGCATCTTTGCACCTGGTCTTACGCGAGCAGGGCAGAAGGCAGATGTTGCAGTTCCCGAACGTTGATGAATTGATAGATGAGTGTTTAAAAGAGCTACAAAGTTGAAATGAAAACTGCACAGAGCCTGATTGTTGCAGCTAATTATTGTGGCCTTACACATGGCTCGGACTAGACATCCTAGATTGGCTTTCTGTAAGGGAGCCTGAGTTGATTGTTCTCCCCTGGAACCAGGTCACTCGTCATAATCCAACTCGTCACCGGAAAACTTGTTACAACAGGTCACAGCGGCCTACTCGATCTAGGTCATGTTGTCATAGGAACACTTGGCACAGGCGGCCGCTCGTCACCGGAAGACTGTTCGCACTGATCTTTGTTTTGGAAGGAGCAGCATCAACCTTGCTTTATACAAAATAATCGCAATGCTCGGAATTAGTGCTACAATGTTTTTACTAATCAGTGGAATTTTAATACAACTTGGAAATATGCTCATATCTGGTGAGACTACATTCATTAGAGTGTGAAATTAGTGAACACTCAACATATGGGACTTCCATGCTATCATACCAAAATTGTTTGTGCGATTGTACCAAGAAATTTTGTACACAGCTAGCGGAAAATGCAGTTCTGGAATTCCTTCAGTATGCAGGGATACAAGCTACTGTAAAGCCGTAATGTTTTATGACTTTGCAGTACTGCCCAAAATACTTATCTTGGCACCAAACAGACTACTCTACTAAGGTATATCAGAGCATAAAAAAAAGGAACGGAAAAATATACCCTTCTTTTTAAGGCTGGAGAGTGAAAGTGTGATCTTCGTTTACTTGTCATGTTTCTACTTCTCTCCTCATCTATTTTTGTCCGTCATTCTTTTTTCAATTAGGGAGAATTGAGGGACCTTCTGCATCAAATCCTACTTGATGCCAGATGTTTCTTCATATTTAAAATTGTTTCTGCAATCAGTACACTTCGGAGTGTTGCAAAAAAATGTTGTTAACATAACCTGTACAAGATAAACAAAATTTCCTTGCATGATTTTTATAGTTAATGATTATTCATACCTGACGTCCTTAGAATTTTTGCATCCCAATTCTGAAAACTGCTAATATTATAATAATTTATTAAAAATAAAAATACCCACACGCTGTGCCTCCTGCTTTGAAAGTCAAAGGAGCGGGCGAGCTAGCAACTTAAAAGACACTTGCTGCACAAGGGTTCATGGAACAAGAGTTCTTTGCCAAAAGTGCATTATTAGCCTGTGACCTTTGTTTAGCAGCATATTAATAAATGTATGATCATGAGTACATGTATTTATTTTCTGCCTTATTTCGAGACGAAATATTTTCATGAATATATGCCATAATTATCAAAGTTGTAACTAAATTGTGAAAGGTAAAGTGCCTTTCACAATTTAGTTGCAACTTTGATAATTATGGCATACATTTCCGAAAATATTTTGTCTCGAAATGAAGCAGAAAATAAATACATGTACTCACTCTTTCAGTTGCTGACTAATCCCGTCACGAAACCAAGCACATTGATTTTTTAGCGGGGAAAGATAACTCACCACATACAAAAAATCAAGTCCTAGTATGAGGGCTGTATGTGCCATTACATTATAGAACCATGGTATCCCAGATAATTTATTGCAGCAAACATGTTTTCTTTGAACTAGTGGGAAAGCTTTTTTTTATGCATTCATAATTTCACCGATTCTTTAATAAAATAAAATAGGCAAGCAACGTTCTTTTCTCAACTACTGGATTACCGGCACTTAACTTTTTTAGAGCAGATGACCAAAAACATGTTTTTATAGATTTGAATCACAGTTCATTGTTAACACTAAATTACAAACTTGCTAGCATTCAATATGCTTAATGTCGCACCCCTACATTTGATACCTGCAGCCAGAATTAGTATGGAGACTGCGATAAAAAGTTGGCGATAATTGCTTGGCATCGAGAGCCCAAAACAAACGATGGATGGGCGTGCTTCTTCACGAAACAAAATTTGTTTAGAAAAAGTATACCTACTTGAAAGTTCCTTAGCGTGTCGTGCTGCATGGCCCATCTTCTAAATAGTACTTCGGCGAAATATTTCCTGCAAGTACATAATCAAGTGCAGCGTGGTCGTCAAAGTGATAATGAAAAGTATGAGCTCAAAGCACCAGCCGTACTCGTGAAAGCATGGCACCTGCATGCGTGAATAGTGACTTTCCTGCATAACTTTGAATTTCAAGATGGATGAATGAACAACTCTGTTCCTAATGGGCACGTTCAGTAGCGGCTCCAGGAGTCAAGGAGTCAGCGCTTTTTCCACTAGACGGCAAAAACCGACTTCCGGTGCACGTTACTCCGAGTTTTTGGAGTCAGGCTCTCATGCACCATCTCCGGAGATGGTGCATGAGAAGGGAAAGGGGCGCAACATGATGTAATTCCGGATCGCTGACAAAATTCCAACGCTAAAAGAGAAAAAAATATAAAAAAATGGCAGGATAAGTTACGTTGGTTTTGTTGCGGGTGTGCAGTTTGATTGCTTTTATTAGTGAAAAGTGCTCAAGGTAAGACGAATAACACGTTTGAATTTTTTTGCCAGGTAAGGCTCTTTTCGGAAAATGCATTGGACCGTATTTTGTTAGGTTTGAATATGCTAATAAACAACGTAGATGGTTTATTTGTAGCCGTGTCTTGATCGCCGTTGCATGGACACTCGGTGAATATCGACGGTAGTCCTTTCCACGCTGAACAGAGCAAGGCAAGCAGTGAACGCGACTTTGGTAGCCGGTTGGACACTCACGCAGAGCATGATCCCGATTAATGGTTTGTTGTCGTAGCTAAATCGGGCTGTACGTTAGCTGATGCTCGCTTCGGCCAACCAAACCTTGATCGCCGAGCGCGGCCGAACTTCCTGTGTATATACGAATACATTTTATAGGAAGTTTGTAACGAAGGGCAGAACAAACGCATGGCCGTATCAAAGTATCGCAACTGGCGGCAGAGATTCGCTCAGCTCCATATTTTGCATGTGCTGACGACGTTTTTCTCGGTTTTTAGAACAGAAGCAGCCTTTGCACCGCCCCGCGAAGGGCTCGAAGGCGTTGGATCGCTTCGAACAGCAGCGCTGATAGATACAGTCACTCGCTTTTTCTTTAACGACCTTGTCAAGACTTCTTCAATACCGGCGTCAAATAAAAGCGATCGTGCTCAGCATCGTCTGGTTCCATCTTATTCGGAGACCGTCTGGTAGAGGAGGAAGCAGAAATTGCGCAGAAGCAGCTGAGGAGCCGCGTTACTCCATTCGGAGCTGAAGGAGCCGCTACTGAATGCGCTCATTGGAGCTTATATACAGGCACCCTAACCCACACTAACATCATTCAGTGATGTGATTGGCCTAAGCCGTTGTGGAGCAGCAAAAGTGGCTTTTGGAGCAGATATTCTTAGAAAAATAAAAATATTTGTTTTAAGTGCTGGACAAATGAAGGGCACTTTGCTCGTTGCAATAAACACATTATGGTCAAGTTAGACCACCTCAGAGTCTTTGAACATGTTAACTGAAATGCCAATGACATGACTCATTTTGCAATGCTTCAGTTAAATGATATATATATATGTACCCGCTATAGGTAAATAAGAGCCAAACTGCACACATTATATTTATTTGAAAATGACCAGCTTAGTAGTAGAAAATATCAAAGCAAAAAGTTGACTAGTTATATAATTTAATAAAGGGAAGCAGTCTCCGACTGATGAAACACATACCTAACTACTGCAGTGCAATGCGAAACTATAAGCAAGAAAAAGGTCCAGTACGACTAGTGGGTGCTTTTCCTTTTGCTTTTCGAAACTTTCTGCAAGGCTGCTGCAAGCCTCGGTTTGCCTTCGGCAAGCAATGAATGTCCACTTTCAATGTCTCCAAAGACACATTGAGATATCCCACAAGTGTACAGTGCTGTAGGAATTGCCGAGCAAATCCATAAAACTGTTTGCCACCGTTTTACTGGTTCCCGACGTGCCAGGTCTTTGACAAAAGCAAGCAAATGCAAAGCAATGAATTGCAAGCGTCCCGGCTGGTGCCTCTGTCGTGCAATCATGTTTGCATGCACATGAGGGCAACATTGGCAGCTTGCAGTTGCACGCGCATCTAGGATGACCACCCGTCCCGCGACTCGCGGGACTGTCCCGCATTGAGGGCTCGTGTCCCGTGTCCCACAAGAAGTTCTCAAATCTTCAAAATGTCCCGCATTTCATACTGTAGTAAAATTCACACTGCAACTCATGTTGTTGCCGAACAACGGGGCACAGGGAAGCGCGGATGTCACTGGTTATCGTCTAAATCGCAATGGTACACCATTTCTATCCGAGCATTGTGGGAAGCAACCTTCGTTATTGCAGGAGATCCAACGCGCATGCTCCGTTGTGCCTCTCCCCTTGGCAAAATATTCTAAGAATTGCTCACCAAAGGTTTCAATATAAAATATTGGAATTATTTTGAAATCACTGTGTCAACGCGAAAGGGCTGCTGTGGATTTTTTTGTTTTAGTGAAGGCAGCCATAAACGGCAAAAAAGCCTACAACTCGCAACGGTCGAAAAAGAATATAATGTTAAAAATTTGTGTAGGACCATGTTGATAAAAGTAAGCGTTGACAGGAAACAATTACCCGAAAAAGATTTACTGTTTCTTAATTCCATATAAAGGGGCACTCAAGTGGTTTTTGAGTTCGTGTTTTGATGATGACAGCTGAATTTAGACGCCCTAAGTATCCCTAAAAATCAAAAAGTATAGTCATACGGTGATTATTTCTTTATTAAAAATGTAATTGAAGGCCGCCAAACCTCGGATCCATCCGAAAACGAAACCACTCTCATTGGTCGTCGCACGCTTATCAAAAGTATCTCGGGAAAATGGCGTTGGACGACGTTCCGTCGCGCAGTGATCCCGAGGTAGCCGCATCGGCCGTACCTCTTTATCATTCGAGCTTCGATCATGGCGGAGTTCTCTACGCTCGAGGACCTGACGCCGTTAGAGGTTGAAGTTCTTCGGCGGACAGCCGACCCGGGGATGATTTCCTATGACGCCACTCCGACGCGATGTGGACGATAGCAGCGCTTCGGAGTAATGTTCGGGTTCCGAGGACGACGAAACGCAGACCTTTTCGGGCGTTCTTCGATTTGCGGTTGGGGCAAGTCGTAACCAAACCAACGCTTGACATCGCAGCGTTAGCTCTGGTACGTGATGTCAAACGATGTCGCCACGTTGACTTTCGCCTCGGGAGAACGGGGGGAAGGCTGGTTCAGACATGTGCAACGAGCGCGTACCTACGACTGCGTCCGTTGCAACCGGAGCGACCGGAACGACCGCACTGCGCCGCGCGGACACACACCTGTAACCACTACAACAAGCGCAGCGGGTCGTCAGCACGGCGACCGCGTCTGTACGCCGCCGTCAGCAGTGTATATAGACAGACAGTTTTCTAGTCTAAAGCTTTATTATTTTTTCTTGATAGGCTTGCAGGGTACAGCGAATGAAAAAAATAAAATAAAAATATGCAGCGCCGTCTTGGACGATCACGACTCTAATACACGACATTGCAATAGTACAAATATCGCCACACGCCTTTTCTACGATTATAAAAGACAATGTAATCTTAGCAGCGATATAGCAACGTAGAAATATGATTTCGTGATCAGATAGACGTTGCGAGCGTTCAGGATTGTTAACACTAATCACTTTTCTCCGGTGATGAAAACGCGTGAAAATTCGTATCCTTTATACGGTACGCGCCAGTAATACCTTGAACTTGAGCACACGCATGAAATGCGCCAAATAAGAAATCCGGGCGATGTTCGAGGACACAAATGCTTAGAAAGCACCACTGTAGTCGAAGTAAACAAACACGACGACACGGGCGTTTCTGCTATCTTGAGAGTGCCGCCACGGCATCGCCGCACGAGTAGGTGGATCTTCCCTTCTAGTACGTGCTGGGTTATCATAGCGAAACACGACGAAAATTCACAGTCAAGGATAGCGCTTTTACGCGGAACGATGAGCTTTCACCAGGCCGTCCATTCCGACGATCACCACCGACGCCACGTTTGCGGATAGAAGGAGCCGGCCGGCCCGCGACCGGCACGGCCGGCCTGCAACGCGCGGAGATACGTGCGCTTCCGCGCATCCCTGGGGAACGGGAAATTCACCCCCCGCGGAGGAGGGCAAGAAGAAAACGTAGTCCCTTGTTTGTGAAACGATAATTGCGCAATCGCGTATTCTGAACTAGAAATATTTTACGTCTTGTGAAATTATCATGCAGAACATATTTAAATGAACTGAAAATTGTTTTTTTAGCGAAACCTTAAAAAGACCGCCAAAATTTTCAAACATACGATAATTTCATTGGTCCTCGCAAGTACAGAAAAGAGTCCGCACGTATTTTATTCCTGCGTGATTAATAGGCGTTTCTGCCTTCTAAAACTGAAGATACTCATTCACTGACACTTCCTTAACACCATCGCAGCAAAAAGTAGCTTCTCCGAAAACCGCTTGAGTGTCCCTTTAATGCATTGAGTTCTGCTACAGTCGGTTTTTATATTTTCAACTTCGACACATTAATAACACATTTCACATAGAAGATATTTCACTGGGAGTGAAAAGTAATCGAGCTTAATGGGTGCAATACAATTAGCAGGTGTATAAACAGCACAGGATATTAAATGTGTTAACAGAGCCTGGGTTTGTGATGCATGTGTTAAAGGGACCATGAAATGACCTTTTTACTTTTTCCAGATAACTTTTACATTAAACCGTCAATGTTCACTGAATGCCGAACAGGCATCCGTTTTCGTCTCGGTTTATTAACTTCTACACAAAAAATTATTGAAATATCGACTTTTTCATTCTCTCCAACTGACCGCAAAAGAAGCCGTGACGTAGACCGTTTCCGGAACCGGAAGTTCTCTCGGCAGTAGGAGTTGGGATGCGCCGGTAGGTTTTACTGCGCTGATGTCACCGACGTATTTCCTGAATCGGCGCCTCTCATCGCCGCATCGCAG